TCCACTCACCTCAGCCTCCCAAAGGCGCGGGATTACAGGCTGAGCCACGGAGCCTGGCGGTATTGCTTTTTAAGAGTTAGTGACATTAAGACAGTAATGGCCAGGCATGGTTGCTCTTGCCTGTAATCCCAGCACTTTGGGAGGCTGGGACAAGAGGATTGCTTGAGCCCAGGAGTTTGAGACTAGCCCAGGCAATGGAGCAAGACCTCATTCTCTACCAAAAAAAAAATTAGCTGGGCATGGTGGCACACGCCTACAATCCCAGCTATTCGGGAGGCTGAGGCAGAAGAATCGCCTGAGCTCAGGAGGCCGGGGTTGCAGTGAGTAACTGCGCCACTACTCTACAGCCTGGGTGACAGAGTGAGACCCCTCAAAAAAGAAAAAAAAAAAAGACAGTATCCTCACAACTGTGGAACTAGAGACATCTCAGAGAATTCATAATATAATACTTAACATGTTAATGATAAGGCTTTCAAAGACCAAAGAAATTGAGTTAAACATAAGCTGTTCAATCTTGAATGGCCTGCTTCGAGAATTAGAAGGGACTGAAACTTTAAGTCCCCCGCTAACCCAGTCATGAAGTATTCCAAAAGGCACATAGGAAAATACCTATTTGGTTAAAAGTAATAGGGAAAATATATCCAAATTTTTAAAACATAGACTAACTATGAAGAGGTTATCAATACAATGTGATACTTGTACAAAGAAAAATGGCCCAAAAGCTTTAGAAGCATATTTAGTAACATATTCAGGAATGTCTTGTCTGTAAAGTCCTTAAATGAAATACAGTTGACCCTTGAACAAGGGTTTGAACTGCATGGATCCACTCATATGCAGGTTTTTTCCAACCAAATGCAGACAAAAAATACAGTATTGTCAGGATGTGAAACTTGCATATACAGAAGGGTTGACTATTCATACTGGTGGGATCCACAGCAGGACTTGAGTGTATGTGGATTTTGGTATACCTTGGAAAAAATATACTGGTATAGCCAGTCTAGCTTGCTTCCACTATCTTCCAGATGTTTGATCCCTTTCTAACATAGAATCTGGTACCTCCTTTTAATTCTTTATATTGAATAATATATTTATGTGTTACCTTTCCCTCTGTTTGAGTCAGAGTCTCACTCTGTCACCTAGGCTGGAATACAGTGGCATAATCATGACCACTGCAGCCTTGACTTTCTGGGCTCAGGTGATTCTTCTGCCTCAGCCTTACAAGTAGCTGGACTATAAGATGCAATCCACCATGCTCAGCTGATTTTTTGATTTACTGTAGAGACGAGGTCTCGCCAAGTTACCTAGGCTGGTCTCGAACTCCTGGGCTTAAGCAATCCTCTCGACTCTGCCTCCCAAAGTGCTGGGATTACAGGCATAAGCCACTGCCCCTGGCCTCACTTCTCTTATAGATTCACAAAATGATAACAAAATCATAATACACTTTCAAACTTAATTATGCCTGCCATCACATGAACTCAAAACAAGTTTGGTTTGTATTAAAAAACCAAACTGGGTAACCTATCTCTACCAAAAAAAAATTAGCTGGGCGTGGTGGCATGCACCTGTAGTTCCTGCTATTTGGTAGAAGAATCACTTGAGTCCAGGTGGTTGAGGTTGCAGTGAACCATGAATGCACCACTGCATTCCAGCCTGGGGGACAGAATAATATCCTATCTCTAAAAAATAAAAATAAAAGTGAAGCATATATGTAGATGAAAATGTTTGCATTTTTCTTGCTAAGAATAGCCTTCCTCTAGCCAGGCATGGTGGCTCACATCTATAATCCTAGCATTTTGTGAGGCTGAAGCAAAAGGATTGACTGAGACCAGGGTTCAAGACCAGCCTGGGCAACTTGGTGAGACCTACAATAAATTAAAAAATTAGCAGGGTGTGATGGCACATGCCTGTAGTTCCAGCTACTTGGAAGGCTGAGGCAGAAGGATCGCAGGTAGAGGCTGCAGTGGCCATGAGCGTGCCACTGCATTCCAGCCTGGGGGACAGAGTGAGACTATCACTCAAAAAAAAAAAAAAAAAAAAAGAATATGAATGAATGAACTTAGAATAATAACTGCTGCAGACTGGGTATGGCTGGACCACACTGCATGATGCAAGAAGTGTATCTGCCTCTGAAAGTTTTGTAAGCATGAAAATTAAGCACATTTGTAAAGAGAAACAAAGGGAAAAA